CAAACCCTCTCAACCTCCTTGTCCCTCTGTTACACTGTCAGTAAACTGTAACAGTGGTTAGCAAGAATAGATGGCAATGCCTGCAATATAAATGTGTTCCCTTCAAAATGTTTGCTGGGACAAAACAATCCATCTTTACTGCTAATAAAGATGTTTACTACACATATTTAATGTCTTTGTTCAACATTGTATTGGCAAAAGACAGTGGAGGCATGGACATTAAAGTTTAAGAGGGTGATGTATCACAGTGTAGATAACAGATAGGCTTTACAGTATTGTATTGCTTTGACCAGCTGTCACAATGCTTTCCCCTAATGTGGCAAATGTCAAATGTTCAGGTGCATTTAAAAAGCATTAGAGCTGAGTTAGCCTTTGAATAAAACACACTCAAACACAAACAGGCATGCACATAAACGCACTCTCTCACACACACACACACACACACACACACACACACTATAGGATTAACCAGAGGTCAGCGTGTAAACTGTTCAAGTCAATCCCCATATTTGATTACAGAAAACACTTAGCAGATCTCCCAATTAGACATGCCCTGATGGCCTAACGAGTCATGAAAGCTATCCAGCAGCGAACGCAAGCACACACACACACAAAAACATACACACACTATTAGCTCCAGTGCTCCATTTCATGGGTAAAAACAGACTCTCTTCAGAGGCTTCTTCACGTTCTAGAAGTTTCAAAGGGTTCTGTCTGAGCAAACATAATCTTCAAAGCATTTTATCTCAAAAGAACTCACAGAAACATTTAAAAAAACATCTCTCCAACACACATTTACACAAGGACACACAACCTTCAGGGACTTATTAGATACTCTGTCTTATCATCGACTTTTCAAAACCAACTTTAAAAAGACATACACTTAAAAACAGTAACAATTGCTTGGGATAATTGTACCACATCAAATCAAATTTTATTTGTCACATACACGTGTTTAGCAGATGTTATTGCGGGTGTAGCAAAATGCTTGTGCTTCTAGCTCCGACAGTGCAGAAATATCTAACAAGTAATATATAACAATTTCACAACATATACCCAATACATTCAAATCTAGTAAGGAATGGAATTGCACATGCACTGACTTCAAAGATTCCCCTGAGGCCATTGCACAGAGAGAGAGAAAATGTGTCACAACAGAAATTGTGTGTGTTTCTCTGTCAATTAGAGGTATCTTTAGAAGAACAAGCAAGGCAGGTGGAGCAGAACACCTCCTACAGAAAGCGACAGAGATCAATCCTAACAAGAAACTCAACTGACAGTTCTGGTCCTCCCCTGAAGAATGAGGGACACTGTCTCCAATCAAACACACAAGATCATAAATACAGCAGATACACACACGTCCACACACACACACACACACTCTAACTTGCGTTAAATTGTGTAAGTATGCAGGTTTATGGAGAGATCTACTCAAAGTTGAACTCTCTGGTCAGCCATATGCTTTTACTCATACCGTACAACACACACACACACACACACACACACACTCCTCCATCACAACCCCCCCCCCCTGGAACCCAGCTCTCTCTGTCTGAATGTTTTTAAAGCAGAGGGCCCCAGTCAGAAACACATTACCCAGTGTGATGGGCCCCTCATATCTCCTAGCCATCTGTAAACATGCCTGGAGGAGATGACATTATCTGGCAGAGCTAACACAGACCTAATGGAGCTGGAGGAGGGCTAACTCACAGGGCAGAGACACGGCTCATAATAACACTGGCTCCGGCTGTGTTTCAAATGGCACTGTATTAACCATAAAGTACACTCTGCTTATAGTGAATGTGGTTATAGTGGTCAACCACTTACAGTGATCAAATGCCCCTGCACAGATGTGATCACTGTAAGAGGAGTTCTGTATTTCCATATGCAGGGCACTTTTAGAAAGCATATACAGTATATAAGGTTGCTTGGAATAAGAGCATGCAGTGTGATAAATATACTGCAACTGTAGTGTAAAATACTGTGCTCTCTACCCAGACAGGAAGGGGTTAAAACCTCGGTAAACCCATCCGATTGGTTGTCTCCAGCTGCGTGGGCCGGCGATAAACGGGTGCCAAACAAATTAGGCAGGAGAAAAAAAGCTCACTACAACAACAATCACCACACATCTTTTTGATGAGACATTTACAAAACAATCTCCCAATTAGTGTTCAGGCCCCTGCCCTGTGTGTGTGTGTTTGTGGGGGGGGGGGGCTGGCACATGTGTTGGGTCCCTGGGGCTAATTGAATGACAATGCAGGGCAATCATCCATCTAAAAACAGGCCCGCACACCCCACTGGGCCAGATACACAGGAGAAGGACATGATGGCTATCACTCTGACATTCTCTTACTCTCATCTTTCTCTCTCTTATACCCTCTGTCGCTCTCTCACTCACCCATTCTTTCTCTCTTCTCACTCTTTTCCATCACTCTCTGTGCCTCCTCTCTGTTGCACGCTCCCTTTACTTTCCTCCTTTCTTTCTCTCACCCCTCATTCTCTTGCTCTCCCTCCATTGTCACGTTGTTAAATCACAGTTCTGGACCGCTTATCACAAGAGTATGTGAGCAGAACTGGAGCCCAATTTGACTGGAGCGCGGAGTGAGATTCCCAAAGGCTGGCGTCCTTCTCGCCCGCTCCAATTTTGCTCCAGTAGCGCTCACGTCACCAGCTCAGGGCATGCCCGGCCCAGCATGCATGTTTAGTCTACTTGTGTGCTGCTATAGCCCCTTGTTTTAGCTACTGTCATGGAGTTCACTAAATATTTTGCCTAAAAACCTTTTATCCCCAGTGGCTCTGCAAGCGTGGAGCCTGAAGCCACAAACTGGTCAAACTCGTGTTTCTAAAAATGAATTCAAAGGCACTGTAGACTGAGCCTAATAAGGCATTTTTTGTTTATTTTGGATTTAATTCTGAGTCACAGCCTATATGCACAATTTATAGACTATAATAATAGTAATAATCAATACTTCAAAACCAAATGGTAGGTCCAAGTAGCCACAAAAATAGATAGGTATTGGTTAAATTGTGATTTTAATGAATGGAGCGAATTTGTGGCGTCTGTTTTTTTTGGAGCCGTTGGAAAGGACGTGGAGTGCCGGAGTGGTGAGCGAGCACCTCTCCATGAGCAGGATTTCCCACCGCTCACATACTCTGCTTATCACCGACAGGTCTCCAAACAGGCCAGAGAGCTGTGGCCCATGGGCTCTCATTACAGAGAGGAGACACAGTGCACACACAGACTCACATACTATCTCTGTCTTTCTCTCCCTCCTCAATTCCTTCCCTCTCTCTCTCTCTCTCTATTTTCCCTCCCTCTCCCTCCTCAACTCTCTCTCTCTCTCTCCCTCCTCAATTCTCTCTCTCTCTCAATTATCCCTCTCTCTCTCTCCCTCAATTCTCCCTCTCTCCCTCCCTCCCTCCTCAATTCTCTCTCTCTCTCTCTCTCTCTATTTTCCCCTCCCTCTCCCTCCTCAATTCTCTCTCTCTCTCTCTCTCTCCCTCCTCAATTCTCTCTATTTTCCCCTCCCTCTCCCTCCTCAATTCTCTCTCTCTCTCCCTCCTCAATTATCTCTCTCTCTCTCCCTCCTCAATTCTCTCTCTCTCCCTCCTCAATTCCTTCCCTCTTGCTCTCTCTCTCTCTCTCCCTCCTCAATTCCTTCCCTCTCTCTCTCTCTCTATTTTCCCTCCCTCAGATCCATCAGTTAGTCCAGCTTGTAGATAATTAAACACCAACAGCTGTTAATGTAAGGCCCAAATTAAATCAGCATCTATTAAATCTTCCGAGCATATCAAAGAGCCAGGCACGGGACAGGCGTGGGGAGAGATCTAACGCACCCCCAACATATCACTAACCTATCTCCAACGCATATCTAATGCATGTTGACAGCTACTGCAGTCCAGTACAAAGGGTGACTGGAGGGAAGAGTGGGAGAGGGGGAAAAGAGAAAAAGAGAGATGGCGGGGTGGAAAGAGAGGAGGAGGAGAGAGAGAGAGAGAGAGAGAGAGAGAGAGAGAGAGAGAGAGAAGAAAAGCGGGGGTTTGGCTGGAAATGCTATTGGATCTTCCTTGCTGAATTCCTGAGGTGATCCGTATTTCCTGTTCCTTGGCATCAGTATCAAAGACAGTACAGTGAGACGAGAGGCCGGAAAATAGTGTGTTTTCACTGAATACTCTCTCCCTCTCCTCTTCCTCTCTCTATGCCTTCTGAAACACATCCATACACATACTCGCTCTCTAACAGGGCCTGTGGAGGTCACAGCAGACACATACAACTATTTTCTGTTCCATCCATTCTTTCTGCTGGGTTCATTCACAGATCACAGCTCCACTCACTCACACACACACACACACACACAGTCCGAGGTCTCCCCACCGCAGGCCCCATGGCAGATAGGCTTTCAGAGAAGAAATATGCTGTGCATACGGTCAAATTAGAAATTCCTTCTCCTGCACTAACACACACGCCATCCCTCAGAGAGAGTTCTTGTCACCACTGGTTGAGACAGAACTCAGGGGAGAGACAGCGGACACTGATAGGGCTCTGGGCTTGTCTTTGGGGCTTTAACATAGGGCAAAGACAGAATTACACATGAGCCCTCCAAAAACACAAACGCACGGTCACACACACAACCATTATTCTGTCTCTTACCCTCTCACCCACACCAATTCATCTCTCCCTCCCTCCTTTCCCCTCAAATTCTATCTCCATTAATCTCTCCATCGTGTTGTGTTATGATGTCATAGCCACACCACATGATGGTGGTGAGGTTGATGTGTCGTAATGTGGTGAGTAGCAGATGGTACTAGTGATGGTGCTGGTCTGGGGGGGATGAGAGAGAGTCCAAGCCCAGGATCAGTGCTTGGTTTGGGGTATGACTCAAGACTGAAGTGCCTAGGGGTGGTGGTTGGAGGTATGGAGCTCACCACATGAAGGAGGGAATGGAGAGGGGACTGTGTCCCAGGAGCAGTGCTTGTGAGTGTGTAAGAGTTATGACTGTTCAGTGGTGGTTTTGGTGGATGATGAAGGAGAGGGGGCAGAGATCAGGGTTGTGGCCCAGGCACAGTGCCAGATTGTGGCCATAACTCTGGGCGTTCTCTGGTGGCTGGAGGGAGTTGAAGTTGTGTGTGCAGTTTGTGTGTGTTTTCTGGCTAGAGACGCAGAGGCATGTTGCTGTGCCATGTAAACACACAGCCAGGCCTGGCAGCAGGCCAACACAGCTGTTCGTGTTCGTGTTCGTCCGTGTGTGTGCGTCCGTCCGTGTGTGTGCGTGTGGGTCGGGAATACAACCGCAATGGCAGAGCGCAAAAAAACTAGTAAAACACTATTTCCTGAAAAAGCGACAACACTGTACTGTAACTTAGCCAACAGAACAGTGTCTTAAAGCTACAGGAGTCTACACAAACTACTTAGCAGGCAGCTTTAGTCCAGAGCAACAGAGAGAAAAAGCAAAGCCACAAAAAGCAAGTAGCAGCATTAGTACTATACACCATTCATCAGCCCACAGTAGGGGTTAGTGGTGCACTCATTCACTATCAGACCAGTACAGCTGTTGTAATACTACAACAATACTAAAGGCTATTTCAGAGGCTTAGCAGTGAGAGTCTCTATGAGAGGCCTGTAGTCCAGGGCTGTCTGTCAGCCTGCTCAGTGGTAGCACTCACACAGTTCGAACGCTCCATAGAACGGTCTACAGAACACTAATGTCAATTGGGTTGTTATTTTGTGATGTCATTAAAAATCTTATAAAGGAAATACTGTAACTTGGAAAGTATACCCCCTTTATATGTGAAATGTCCATCCTATACGTTGTGAATGAAATATGAAAAATTATTAAAGTATTTTTCTTATGATAGGGATGTGATTTTAGGAGCCATAAGAGATCATTTGTTTCCCATAAACTTTGCACAGTAAGTAGCCACGCACCGAGTGAGGTCAGAGAGTGTGTCAGCCTGACGGATCCGCCCCTTTCGACCAGAGTGCATTAAGGATTGATAAAGAAATGAACATGCAGACCAGAAAGATGTAAAGCTGCAGCTGCACGTCTCAAGTGGTTTGAACTCTGAATTGCAATACGAGGTAGAGAAGGAAAACTCACCTCCGGACTATCACTGGTACGGCTGGTTAGCTGTCCTAAGTAAGGTATCTTCGAAAGCTAATTTAAGTAGAAACATCCTGCTACTCTCATCACCCCACTGGGGAACCATCGATACGGCTGGCAATCTTCAAAGAAGCAACTTCAAGAGCGCCGGGAAGAAAAATCTATTCTGTAGTTCTGTTCAGGACTACATGACAAGTCACCGGATACCGGACAACTACAGAGGAGAACAACAGTAGAATACTTGTTGGAACTTTTGGACAATCAGAGCCTTAAAAGCGTGGCGCGAGAAGGCCCAACTCCCTTTCCAGGGCGGTCCTGTCCACTGAGAGATACATGACGAACCAGACATTCTACGTAAATACATTCATGATTTCTTACTCAAAGAGGGCGGCGGTTCGTGTGCAAAGTATATTGGTACTGTAAAAGAGCGTTGTTTCTGAATTTATCAAAGTATTATCTCTGTCCCTCTCTATCTCCCTTTCCATCTCTTCTTGTTAACAAGCCATGTTGTTGTCATTCCACTAGGGACCTGTTTTCTCCAGTCAATAACCGGTGCAGAGTGTGTATGTTTATCCTGTGTTCCCATTTAATTAGCTCGTAAATAAATAATTAAACCAATTTGTGTAGTACTGAATCATAAGTAAGGCTCAGGTTTTTGCAGATGCAAGGAGGTTACGATTGTTCAGAATGATGATATGATACGAGGTTATGATTAATAAGTTGACTGTTTATAGATGTGATTGGTAAAATACCTTTTAGAGTTTAATTCAAGAGATGGTAACTCTTTAAAGAACCGCTCTTGTGGTGCCCCAAATCCTAATGAGTTAATTGTTACATGCTTAATTTAATCAGGTAACAATTAATGATAGTTAGTTAATTAGAGATAACAGTCTATAGGTGTGATGAGCAAACGCAAAAAAAAAACATCCAAATACAAAGAAACATGGACATTTACACACAGAGACACACATGGACATTTACACACAGAGACACACATGGACATTTACACACAGACACACACATGGACATTGACGTACACACACTCAGAAACAAACTCTCACACACACAGACACACTCAAGTCCGGCTGCCACACGACTCAATGACAGATGCCTGTGACAGTTACCCTAACATAACCCCCTAATACACACACAAACATACACCCTCACTGTAAAATCCTTTAATGCGTTATCAGAGGCCAGCCCACTGAACGCAGGCTAATTCCAGCACATTCCAACACTGCATGGGGTGGAGGCCCCCAAAACATCTGGGCCTGGCTTTGGCAGGGTGGACTACACACACACAAGCTGTCTATGTAGCAGTAGTTTTCACCCGTCTCTCACTTTGTCTGATCCTGTGTTACAATCCTCTGTAATATACACCCCAGAGAGGCAGAAACCAGGACATTCCCATACCAACATTTGGCCATGCTGTTACGGTACACAAATGTTATTGTGTCTCTCTAGATGGCTGATCCACCAAATGAACTGGCTGGTCTAACTGTGTTTTTAGGAGAACAGTCAACAGTTAGGAGAGAATAACAGGAACCCTGGTCTGTAGGAATACTGAAATGACCTGGGTGGAGGGTACACACACACACAAATATGTTTTTCTTTCCAACACACACATACAGCTAATTGCATATAACCAGCTCATACACACACAAGCTGATAAATGTGACAAAGGGCTTCTTAGGCAATCAAGCCATCTTAGCTCACCCACTCACAGACACGCACACACACACACAGAGAGTGGACTTACAAGAGGAGGGGCTTGCGGCAGAGCACCAGGGCGTCGTAGAGCACACACACCCCGAAGACGGTGATGCCCGTCTCTTTGACCAGCATGGCACAGGTGCCCAGAAGCAGACTGGCACCCAGTGCCCACACAGACACCGTGGAGGGCAGAGAGTCTGCGGAGCCACACACACCCACACTCCTGGAGAGAGAGAGAGGGAGAGAGAGAGAGAGGAGAGAGAGGAAGGAGGGAGAGAGAAGAGAGTGAGCGCTATTAAGTAAACAGAAAAAACCTCCCACAGTGTAAAAAACTCTACACAATCCGTCCTCCAGAGTAGTGAGAGAGAGAGAGAGAGAGAGAGAGAGAGAGAGAGAGAGAGAGAGAGAGAGAGAGAGAGAGAGAGGTTTTCTTACCTAATATAGGAGAGAAATGCCAGGAGGAACATCATGCAGGCCAAGACATCCGCCCTGCCCACGATACCAGACACCTGCAACACACACACACAGAGTTTACATTAGTCCTGTGTCTCAGCTGACCCGGACAACCTGTAGACTAGTGACAGAGTAGAGTGGGTGTTCATAGGGAAGTCTATTTACATTTTAGTAATTTAGCAGACGCTCTTATCCAGAGCGACTTACAGTTTTTTAGTGAGTGCATACATTTTCATACTGGCCCCCCGTGGGAATCGAACCCACAACCCTGGCGTTGCAAACGCCATGCTCTACCAACTGAGCTACACAGGACTATTCTGTTGCTAGGTTACACTGAGACACATAACTCTGTTACATAACACTGTGTTATGGTACAGTCTGTCAGCAGAGGTCCAGAGGGAGTTCAGGGCAGGTTGGAGATGAGACAGTATGAATATTTAGACTCATTTCTGTACATTTACCACAAAGTGCCCTGATGTTTGAGCCTATTTTCCAAGAGAGAGACCTAGTTAGGTGGCAATACATTAGGTTGTGATATGTTAGTTGGTGATATGTTAGATTGTGTTACAGTTCTGTTTGGGTCTGGGGTACGTTATGTTCCAGTGAGGTCTGCAGGTTTTAAGTCTCTGCTGCAGTGAGGCAGTTAGTCAGACCGGATGAGCACACTGACATGTCCAACTGGGACTGAGATAAAGAACAGAGAGAGAGAGAGAGCGAGAGAGCGAGAGAGAGAGAGCGAGAGAGCGAGAGAGAGACAGAGAGAGACAGAGCGAGAGAGACAGACAGAGCGAGAGAGAGAGAGAAGATAATTACTTGACACACTGGAAATAATTTAAAAAACATTAGGGAAAACTAGATTGCTATTTGGCCCTAAACAGAGAGTACACAGTGGCAGAATACCTGACCACCGTGACTGACCCAGAATTAAGGAAATTTTTGACTATGTACAGACTCAGTGAGCATAGCCGTGCTATTGAGAAAGACCGCCGAAGGCAGACCTGGCTCTCAAGAGAAGACAGGCTATGTGCACACTGCCCACAAAATGAGGTGGAAACTGAAGCTGCACTTCCTAACTTCCTGCCAAATGTATGACCATATTAGAGACACATGTTTCCCTCAGATTACACAGACCCACAAAGAATTCGAAAACAAATCCAATTTTGATAAACTCCCTGTCAAGGGGTGCTGAAGGTGGGTGTGGTGCATGAATCAAGCGCAGGACGCAGAAGCTCAGTCCAAAAGACTTTAGTGCAATATTCACGTAGAAAATAAGCACAATAAGCCCGAAGGCGAAATAACGGCGCACACAGGCGTCAAACAAACGGCGCACTAACATGTGCGAAAAACCTCTCCAAAACACTGGAGGGAAGTACGTAGCTCCAACACGAAACAGAAGAGCAATCACACACAAAGACAAACACACACAACGAGAACTAAATAGGACACTAACGAGGACTAACAAGACACAGGTGTACAACATCAAGACAAAACCAAACGAACATGAAACAAAGATCGGTGGCAGCTAGTACTCCGGGGACGACGACCGCCGAAGCCTGCCCGAACCAGGAGGAGGAGCAGCCTCGGCCGAAACCGTGACACTCCCATATCTATTGGGTGAAATACCACAGTGTGCCATCACAGCAGCAAGATTTGTGACCTGTTGCCACAAGAAAAGGGAAACCAGTGAAGAACAAACACCATTGTAAATACAACCTATATTTATGTTTATTTATTTTCCCTTTTGTACTTTAACTATTTGCACATCATTACAACACTGTATATAGACATAATATGACACCTGAAATGTCTTTATTCTTTTGGCACTTGTGTAATGTTTACTGTTAATTTTTTTTATTGTTTATTATCTATTTCACTTGCTTTGGCAATGTAAACATATGTTTCCCATGCCAATAAAGCCCTTAAATTGAATTGACAGAGAGAGAGAGAGAGAGAGAGACAGAGAGACAGAAAGTCAGACTCTGAGAGATTAACAGGGTCAGATAGGAGTTGTGAGATCATATATCTCAAAACCTCCAGGATAGGAAGACAGGGGATGGAGAGAAGGAGGGATAAGGAGGAGAGGGATAGCAATAGCTGAGAAGGACGGGAAGAAGTAGATTGATTGCCACCCTCCGGAGAGTCGGTAAATATAACAGTAGGTCCCAGAACCTTTTAATCTAACTGGCAAGACAGCCAACCTCTGTCACAGTCTCTGTCTGTGTCTGTGTGTGTGTAGTAGAGGTGTTAGGGTACTGGGACCTCGGTTCGGTCCGCACTGTGAACCCGAATGAATACATACAAAATATATTTACTAAACACTAGGCCTACACTGCATTTTAGGCCTCTTGCGTAAATCTGAGCTGGGAAAAAAATACATCAGGCTATTCCGTTAAAAAAAAAAAAAAAATATGCGCACGTTGTAATCACAATTCAAATGTTAATTGGCGCATGTCAAACTGTCCTTTTATAAGGCGCAGCCCGGAACTAGTGCTGTACGATAGCGAGTGGTGTGGTCGTTAAACTAGGATTCTCCATCATCATTTAAATCTCCAGTTTGGGAACATTTGGCCTTCCCAGTAGATTACAACGGCGATGTACAGAGAGAGTATGTCGCCACTGCTCAACGAGAATAGCCTATGGAGCTGCCAACATCTTAAACACATTGACACATTTACGCCGACATCACCCCAGTATTCCTACCCTTGAGCAAAACGTAAACGCAAAAAAATAAAATAAAACACAACTTCGTCTCCCCTCTGCATTCAAGCAGCTCTTCGCAGTTGATTCTGACCGGACCAAAGAAGTTACGAGAGCGATAGGTAGCCTGTTTATAGCCGCGGATATGCACCCATTCTTGGTGGTTGAGGAGCATGTGGGATTTCAGCACCTCGTGAAAGTGCTCGAAACTTGTCGTCCACTTATTTAAGATCTACAGTAGTGCAAGTTTCACCATGGCGATATGTTGGCACATGATAATTATTAGAATATGGTTAATATTAGTAAATTATTGCATTCTATACATGCTAGCTTTCGCGGGCTATACCTTGAGACATGAAACAGATATGTGGGAGGGCATACAGTCTGTCAACAATTTATTAATTCACAATTTGCCTAAATGGTTAATGGAAACACTTCAACCACAAACATTTTATTCGACACTGTAGGTTTTTGCAACGACAACAAAAAATTGGTGTGGCGTCATTATGTCCAGCTGTTTTTATCGCCACAAGATAGTTAAATGGAAACGGACCCTAGCAGACAATTGTCGCATCTATTTTCTATGCAAACGTTCTAAATGTTGACAAAAACATATCACTGGACAAGTTCATGGAAACATAGCTAGTACAGCCAATCACATTAACCAGGAGTGGGTAATGAGAAGTAGCCTGCCTTGCTACAGACACGCCTCCTTTATGTGAGTCACACAAGAGCGCATATTCTTCTCTTTGTTAGAAAATATTATAGAATAGGCCTATACAATGTCTGAGCCATGTTTACATATTGATTTCACACGCATATTGCACTTATTTTAGTGTAGTTGTTGAGTAATCACTGAGTAATCGTTTGTTTTTATTTAAGAAAATACAAAGTTGGTATTATTCCTGATGGTGCTCTCATCAGGCATTATTTGACTCATGATCATATATGGAATCAGGAATTCCAACACTTTGTATTTTCTTACTTGCAAGCCCTTAAACAACAATGCAGTTCAAGAAAGAGTTAAGAAAATATTTACAAAATAAACTAAGGTAAAAAATAATAAAAAGTAACACAATAAAATAACAATAACCAGGCTATATACAGGGGGTACCGGTTAGAGACAATATGCGGGGGTACAGGTTAGTCGAGGTAATTTGTACATGTAGGTAGGGATAAAGTGACTACAGGCTCCTAACCAACTGTGCTGTAGAAGCTCATCAGTAAAGCAGGGGGAGGGGCGCTCCCATCCCTTTCAACTTCGTCCTCTCTCCCACCCCCTCATCCGATTGCCCTTCATCCTTCACTTCCCCCCTCTGTTCTTTCTCTCCTTTCATCTTCCTCCATCCATCCCTGCCTCCCACTGTGAATGAAGGTGACTCAGCAGTGTCATCTCGGTACACACACACACACAGAGAGAGACAGAAACACACAAACACACATTCTTTAACAATATATCTCAACTCACAAACACTCCCAGCCCTAACACTCACTTAAAATATCTAAATCAGACCTTTAATGTCCTACCCCATGGAGTACCAGCTGTGTGCGTTTGTGCGCGCCTGCGTGCAGTGAGAAACACACAATCTAGAACATTCGGTACCACACCCCTCTAGGGCTGCAGCTGTTTCTAATAGAAGGTGCTTAGAGACACACCCTGCCCCCTGGAACTGTCTAATGGGACATTTGGTACTGATTTGTGTGTGTGTGTGTGTGTGTTCATGCGTACATGTGAGTGTTTGTGTATTAGCCCTCTCTCTCTCTCCCTACATAACCCCACAACCCTTCCTGGCATGAGGCACGGCGTGAGGCGAGAGGGTTCCTCAAGACTGGAACTCAGGAGCATGCTGTTCCCTTAGAGGGGATTTGAGTACTCTATCCTGACCGCACACACCCCTACTACAGTAAAGTACTACCTTACCACACACCTCCTAGTACAGTAAAGTACTACCTTACCACACACCCCTACTACAGTAAGGTCCTCTGTAGCTCAGCTGGTAGAGCACGGCGCTTGTAACGCCAAGGTAGTGGGTTTGATCCCCGGGACCACCCATACACAAAAAAATATATAATGTATGCACGCATGACTGTAAGTCGCTTTGGATAAAAGCGTCTGCTAAATGGCATATTATTATTATTATTATTATTATTACTACTACCTTACCACACACCCCTACTACAGTAAAGTACTACCTTACCATACACCCCCTACTGCAGTAAAGTACTACCCCACCACACACCCCCTACTACAGTAAAGTACTACCCCACCACACACCCCCTACTACAGTAAAGTACTACCCCACCACACACCCCCTTCTACAGTAAAGTACTACCCCACCACACACCCCCTACTGCAGTAAAGTACTACCCCACCACACACCCTCTACTACAGTAAAGTACTACCTTACCACACACCCCCTACTGCAGTAAAATACTACCCCACCACACACCCCCTACTACAGTAAAGTACTACCCCACCACACACCCCCTACTGCAGTAAAATACTACCCCACCACACACCCCCTACTACAGTAAAGTACTACCCCACCACACACCCCCTACTGCAGTAAAGTACTACCCCACCACACACCCCTACTACAGTAAAGTACTACCTTACCACACACCCCTACTACAGTAAAATACTACCCCCCACCACACACCCCCCTACTACAGTAAAATACTACCCCACCACAACCCCACACACCCCTAAACTAAAAGTATCTACCCCACCACACACCTCCTAGTACAGTAGAGTACTACCCCACCACACACCCCCTACTACAGTAAAGTACTACCTTACCACACACCTCCTAGTACAGTACTACCCCACCACACACTCCCTACTACAGTAGAGTAAGTAATTAGCCTTGTCCAAGCCAGAACGGCCTGGGCCCATCCTGTTTCTGTAGCGTGAGGCAGCTTGATGTACAAGTACACCCCCTGGGCAGGACGCTAGTCAGTACCGTACTACTCCTCTTTAACCCAGCACCACACATGTCCATAAACCTATAGTGATATACGGTACCTCTGACAGTGGTGACACAGTGGTGACAGTGATACAGGGATCTGTCTCGAACTGAGACAACGGTGTTTCAATAATAGCCATTGTGTTAACCATAGCTGCTGTAATAGTATGGCTCACCCACCTCTCCCCTGCTGTCTCCTGGCCTGATCTGCTCTACACACACTGGGCTCTGTTCACAGCACAAACGCAGATTACCTCATTCTAGCCAATTACATAATTTAGCAGGAATTTGAACACAGCTGCAGCTCCCCCACTCTAAACTCAACACGTGGAGTAGAATATACAGTACAGCCCAAGGACACACATACACCACACACATGCATCACACACATCCCACACACCCAAACACACACTCTCTCAGGTCTGCAAAATACGCATTTTCTCAATAACATGGTGTTAAAAGTCACAAGAAAAATGATTATATCTACAGTATGGTGTCCCTCAACTCTGTCTGGCCTGTCTTTTCCCAACAGCTAAGACACTCAACAACATCTACTTCGCCATGCCAACCATGTGTGTGCCTAAGTGGACAGAGAGACACACAGACGGTCAGTGGGATCCCAACATGACCTGACCAGTCTGTGTCAGCAGCCGCCATTGAGAAGAGAGGAGAGGAGAGTGGGATGAATAGAGGGCTTTCAGCCTTGAACAGCACCTCCATTCACTGGCTGCAGAACTGAATGACTGCATCTTTATGGCAGCCATATTGGATAGGGAGACAGGGACTGTGTGATGCCAGAAGCTTCACAGAGAAGGAGGATGAGGGATAGGCCACTTTTTAATCTCTGTCTGATTGTGGGGTGTTTGTGGTGTGTGTATCCCTCCTCATCAGTATAAGTGAAGTGAACTCCAGCTGGTCCCCTGGCTAATGACATAACCGGTTTACTGCACTGAGTTCATCAGGCTCTGGCACCACTGGCACAGTCACTCACTGCAGACACAACACTGCCAAAGACCTGCCACTACACAGCCCCAGCATCAGCCCAAGCCCTCAGAATGACTGACTACATACTGCATGACTGCCTAGCAGACTGACACTGGGTGGAAATGGGACTGAAGCTCCTGAAAATCTATGCAAGGGAGGCTAGTGCTGGTATGAGCTAGGAAGCTAAAGACTCATTTGAGTGGATGTGGACAGGGATTATGAGCTGGAGGTTGGTCCATGATTAGCTTATGGTTTAGGGATGAGGTTGGGCGATGAAGCCTGGGGCCAGATGGAATGATGAAGGGAACTGTAGGATTAACACTAAAGAAGACTATGGCTGATGGGGAAGCTAGACACACAGACACCTCTCTCTCTCTCTCTCTCTCTCTTTCACCCTTTTCATCTCTCTCTGTTTCAACCACTGTCTCTGCAGAGCTCTAACTTTAACACAGTCTTTCCTCTTCTTTCACCTGTGAAAATGAATTAGAATTCTCCTCCACACAGGATTTGCATACATTTCCCAAATTCTAAAACTTGCCTCGCTACTTTTCAAACATTCAAAACTAAATTCATGGAGCTGGAACTGTAATATGAAAACGGGAAGGTTGCCTTTCGGGACTTATTGAACAGGGACCTGATTCCCCAGTAGTGAGACGGGTGTGTGAGAGCCCCGAGCTTGTCTCACATGTGAAGGCACAGTTAGTCACAGATGACCATGTCAGAGGATGACTGCATGTGTCACAAGGTAGCCTTAATCTACAGTATGTGAATGAATCCATGTCATTGGTCTTACATGTGAGGGAGGAGTCATTGAGAAGAGTCATGTCTGCTAGAGGGGGTCGTGTGTGTGTGTGCATACTCACAGCCTCAGTGTGGATGGGGTGCACAGCGAAGAGGAGGGCGGTGAGGAAGGCCAGACGGGGGTCGTCGAACACGCAACGATCACACGTGTGCATGAGCAGACAGGTCACGGCACAGTGAAGACACACATTGACCACATGGAAATAGAGAGGGGTCATTCCACCCAAGAGGATGTTCAATCTGATAGAGAGAGAGAGAGATAGGATTGTAATCACCATTTTACCATCATAATTAGAGAGAAAATAGTCTTATTCAAACTAAAACTGCAGGATATGAAACATTCGCTTCTAATGTATCACAGCCACACTGTCTCGGGAACTGTGACCCTCCCTTACAGTTTCCACCATCACCAATGACTACAGTCCAATTGACCAATCACGGTTGGGGTCAATTCCATTCGACCTCAGTCAATTAAATTCAGGACGGGTATCTAACATGAATTGAATACAATTACATTTATTTTGTTTTCGGTGAGGATATATTCCCTTCCCGTAATTACCCAATTTAAAATGGATAAACCCTGATTATTTTAAACAGAGTATATTGGAATACATATGATCTCCCTCTAAATCAGCTTTTTGATGGCGTAATAAGGGTGATTTAAGCAATTTGGAAATGTCATATAATATATCCCATATCTGTAGATATTAGACTGTTCAAATTACATTTTTCCCACCCACACAAAGTTATAACACAACACTAAAATCTCCATTACACACCCAGGTACTGAAAACCATTAGTTCAGGTTCTATAAAAGCATTTCTCCATGAGATGTAATGTAGAGGTCTGTACTTTTTATCATAGGTACACTTCAACTGTGAGAGACGGAATCTAAAACAAAAATCCAGAAAATCACATTGTATGATTTTTAAGTAATTAATTTGCATTTTATTGCATGACATAAGTATTTGATCACCTACCAACCAGTAAGAATTCCGGCTCTCACAGACCTGTTAGTTTTTCTTTAAGAAGCCCTCCTGTTCTCCACTCATTACCTGTATTAACTGCACCTGTTTGAACTCGTTACCTGTATAAAAGACACCTGTCCACACACTCAATCAAACAGACTCCAACCTCTCCACAATGGCCAAGACCAGAGAGCTGTGTAAGGACATCAGGGATAAAATTGTAGACCTGCACAAGGCTGGGATGGGCTACAGGACAATAGGCAAGCAGCTTGGTGAGACGGCAACAACTGTTGCCGCAATTATTAGAAAATTGAAGAAGTTCAAGATGACGGTCAATCACCCTCGGTCTGGGGCTCCATGCAAGATCTCACCTCGTGGGGCATCAATGATCATGAGGAAGGTGAGGGATCAGCCCAGAACTACACAGCAGGACCTGGTCAATGACCTGAAGAGAGCTGGGACCACAGTCTCAAAGAAAACCATTAGTAACACACTACGCCGTCTGGATTAAAATCCTGCAGCGCACGCAAGGTCCCCCTGCTCAAGCCAGCGCATGTCCAGGCCCGTCTGAAGTTTGCCAATGACCATCTGGATGATCCAGAGGAGGAATGGGAGAAGGTCGTGTGGTCTGATGAGGCAAAAATAGAGCTTTTTGGTCTAAACTCCACTCGCCGTGTTTGGAGGAAGAAGAAGGATGAGTACAACCCCAAGAACACCATCCCAACTGTGAAGCATGGAGGTGGAAACATCATTCTTTGGGGATACTTTTCTGCAAAGGGGACAGGACGACTTCACCGTATTGAGGGGAGGATGGATGGGGCCATGTATCGCGAGATCTTGGCCAACAACCTCCTTCCCTCAGTAAGAGCATTGAAGATGGGTCGTGGCTGGGTCTTCCAGCATGACAACGACCCAAAACACACAGCCAGGGCAACTAAGGAGTGGCTCCGTAAGAAGCATCTCAAGGTCCTGGAGTGGCCTAGCCAGTCTCCAGACCTGAACCCAATAGAAAATATTTGGAGGGAGCTGAAAGTCCGTATTGCCCAGCGACAGCCCTGAAACCTGAAGGATCTGGAGAAGGTCTGTATGGAAGAGTGGGCCAAAATCCTTGCTGCAGTGTGTGCAAACCTGGTCAAGACCTACAGGAAATGTATGATCTCTGTAATTGCAAACAAAGGTTTCTGTACCAAATATTAAGTTTTGCTTTTCTGATGTATCAAATACTTATGTCATGCAATAAAATGCAAATTAATTACTTAAAAATCATACAATGTGATTTTCTGGATTTTTGTTTTAGATTCCATCTCTCACAGTTGAAGTGTACCTATGATAAAAATGACAGACCTCTACATGCTTTGTAAGTAGGAAAACCTGCAAAATTATATTAAGCGATTCCTCCCCCGTCTCAGAGTAGAGAAGAATCCCAACCCTCCATTATGATTTCAATTACAGTATTACACCATCTCTGTAAAACAGCCTGTTTCTCTCATCATTAAACACAGTCTGACTCCTAATGTGAAGAAACCCATACATTTCCAGGATGAAAGACTTGGAGAATCTGAAACAGAACTAAACTAGACAGAAGGGAATCTGAAGAGAATATAAACATGGGTTTTAATGGGGGAAAGACTGTAGAGCTGATTGTCATACATAAGCGATAATGGGGACGTCTCATATAAGCCATTGGCCAATCCATTAAGTGATGATGAAAAGCAGGCTCCACCCCTGTTAAATCATAGATCATGCATGGTGGATGTTGTAGGATGCCCTGGGGAAAGGGTATTAACCCTGAACATGTGTAAGCCAGACCTCTGATGTAATCTGGTTATAGGCCTTCTCAGTGAGTCATGGCAGATGTGCACTCTGATATTAAGACTAATACATTTCAATTAGAGACCAGAGGCTGGACAGTGGACAATTTCCTGACAATGTGAACTGACCAGGAAAAACGAGGCCTTTCTTATAGCCTACGACTAGGATCTGGACGTTTTCCAGACCACATCACCTGAGCAGGAAAAACACTAGGCCCACCACTGTATAGATGTCCTATTTGTTTTACCATTGCCTAGCTACAACACTATATAGTCCCTGTATTGGGATACAAGATAGAAGTGCTTAGCCGTGCAGGTAGAGTGGTACACTGGTCAATGCTGAAACAGACAGGTATCCAGCTCTGTAAGGACACAGTAACTGTCACCAGGCAGCCTGGCTGTATTGGAGGGGACAGAGGATATGACAGAGGCATCAGCAGGTTATGACGAGTGTCTTTACACTGTTGTACCAACACTGACAACTCATCTCCTCCCTTCTCTCTGTGCCGTCACTGAGTATTAGACTACAGGCATGAGACAGACAGACATCTAGGAGTAGCTTGTGTATGTGTATTCGTGAGTGAGTGAGCGTACACACTACAGAGAATGCATCTGGCCAGCTTTGGGCTATGTGTAGATTGAGATTCAGCTGCTTGGCAGCAATGTGTGGTTAACCAACTGCAGAACCAGAAGGAGAGCGCTACACAACCAGATGCTCCATCCATCTCCTCAAAGAGAGAAACCCATTAAAAGTATCAGCACATCAGCCTTCCCTCTCCCCCTAACCAGTGCACTAAGGATTCAGCACACACACACACACGCAGCAGCTGACAACATCTCTGTTGTCATAATCAGCATCTCACATCTTCAGCTCTGAATATGCCCTCTTCAAAAGATGATGTTGATATCTACGCTCAACACTGAGGAATGTAGCACTGAGAAAGAAACACTTCTTTGAAATGTATTTTCTGGCTGGCGCATCGTACGGTGTCGGGGAGGAGCAGCTCATGGTTGTCAGATGGTTCAGGCTCTGAGAAGAGGTCAGAGGATACAGCGACAGACTGACGGTGGAGATGATGTCTTACTAAGCAATCAAAGTATTAGAATAGATAAGTCCCATACATAGGATGGTGTGTATGTGTGTGTCCACAGCCCTATACAAAGAAAAAGCACAAAGCTTTACCAGGCAGAGAATGGGTCTATCCAGTGGTTACCTACCGCCTGATGGTTCATATTAGTATTCCAGTCTTTTCCTATCTATTATTTATATTTCAACTGTATTGCCTGCTGAAGAAAACCAAGCACTTTGGGCCCTCACTGATTACATAAAGACCTGCTGGAAAAGTGTATTATTATAACACTTCACTTCACCATCTTATCAATCCTACACGTGTGCTAGATAGAAACAGAGCCTACGGTTTTTTGTAGTTTTCCTATCAACACATCTTTCAACAAGTCTGCTGTAGGTGTTTCATCAATCTGAGGCTATTAATGTTTCTGGTTGACTAATGCTGGCGCCGAGAGCCAGACCCCTCCCGCGTCCCATTGCGCTGCCTGTGACAAGCCCTCTCCAGTGTGTGCTGCCCAGACATTAAATTGACACTGGCTGGAAAAGTTCCCTTGAACGACGACTGTTTGTTTACTTCACGCAACAACATTGAAGCACACATTTCCCGAAATGCGGTTTATCAATGTTCTGCAGCGTAAAACATATCCACCAAAATACACTGAAAGTGAGTGCGCTTTCAGGGATTCCACAGCAAGCAACAAGTGTGTAGGCAAAAACGGTCAACATCTGCCCGGTCCAGCTAACATGCTGTATGTCGAATCTAGCCTATTTGAAAAATGTTTAAGTTGCATTTCTGTAGCATATTCTAAGATCAAGGAGCACAAATAAGATCTGCTTTTCTTGCGAGCGAGCAGCGTTCATCGTACGCTTAAACAAGTTTAGCTAACTGCGCAAGCGGATCGCGGTAGCAATCTGTTTAAAACCCATTAGGCTACATACATGTTTGTTTATGGTAGGTACAGATGTGCGTCGTTCATAAACGCTGGCGATCGACCAAGCTCAACCTAGCTCATAGCAAGAAGAAACCTACCGTTGGCTAGCCTATGACGTCAGCCTATTTCGGAGATCCGATACATGGTATCACTTGTATCGGATCACAGGTTGGATGGCTGACGAGACCAGCGCATTTTTGGACATTGTCACTTAAGCAACATAGTTTCTCATTCCCGCCCGAGACCCAGCTGTTCAAGTTAACTACAGCGACTTTGCTGGGAAGATAACCACAGAGAGCTAGGGGAGAGGGGAGAGGGGAGAGAGCGAACTTACTTGAAGGTGAGGATGCATAACGGTCTGTACGACTTGTGGCTTGTGTTGTCCGCCATCCTCTTGCCCCAAAAGTCGTTGGTGAAGATGTTCTGCAGGCTGGACCCCGGCCGGACGTCGGGGTTATTGCTGATAGCCCACACATCGTCGTGCACGAACTCCCCTTGCAGAGAGTTGCCGTAGCACAGCGCGCACAGAGCCATCAGCACTGCATACCGACCAACTCCTCTCCCCGCTTCTAACGCGACCGACAGGCGGAGCGGGCAAGGAGTCTTCTCTCGTCCGTGCACTGTCATGTCGGCCCTCGCCTCACAACAAGCCGCTTGGGGCTGGGGAAAAGCCGGGGTGAGTGGGGAGCCATATCCGTTCCGCTAGACAGGCAGGTAGCGACTGTGTTGCCTACTGTAGGCTGCGGGGACTGACTATGAAGCAGCCAGCGACAGGAGAAGCCGCCTTTTGACGCATGCGCACGGCGCAGTACGGTCCTCCCCGGAGCTAGAGAGATTCATTAGCACCACCTAGACCGAAAATCAATGGCCGCGCGACATGACCTTTATCTTCAGACGAGGCCAATAATAAACTAATGATTGTCTAGGACGGGCAGGGCGGAGACGCGCTAATAGAGTGACAGAGTGACACGGCGGGGTGCTGTCAGTCTGAGTGGGAGAGACAAGGAATCAAAGACCTTCACCTTGTCTGTCTCTGCCCCCGAGCTCGAGGTCACTGACTCTTACCCAGCCAAGCGGGTTATTATACACGGAATGTACAAAACATTAGGACCACCTGCTCTTTCTATGATATAGACTGACCAGGTGAATCCAGGTGAAAGCTTATTGATGTCGCCTGTTAAATCCACTTCAATCAGTGTAGATGAAGGGAAGGAAACAGGTTAAAGAGGGGAATGTGTGCCATTCAGAGGGGAATGGGCAAGACACAAGGTTTAAGTGCCTTTGAATGGGGTATGGTAGTAGGTGCCAGGCACACCGGTTTAAGTGTGTCAAGAACTGCAACACTGCTGGGTTTTTCATGCACAACAGTTTCCAGTGTGTATCAAGAATGGTCCACCATCCAAAGGACATCCAGCCAACTTGACACAACTGTTTGAAGCATTGGAGTCAACATGGGCCAGCATCCCTGTGGAACACTTTTGACACCTTGTAGTCCATGCCCCGATGAATTGATGCTTTTCTGAGGGCAAAAGGGGGTGCAACTCAATATTAGGAAGGTGTTCCTAATGTTTTGTAAGCTCAGTGTAGACACTGGTAATAAACTCATGTTTACAAGAGAGATAATCATAAATCAATGAACCATGATAATGGTTACGATGTGGGATGTTGACCTGACCATAGCAGGTTGTGATGAGTATAATATTTAATATCCATCCACTTCCTTGTAGGCTACTGTACTAGGCCTACTGAAAATCAATCAATTTCCAAAACATCTGCTAGGTCTGCATGTTTAAGCTACACTTTCCAAAAACACCATACATTAAAAAAAAAACATTTCAAAGCATTACTTTAATAATTCCTAAACAGGCTGGTGTTGAGTTTGCCCTCAGCAGCAGAATACAGTTATAGTGCCAGCCTGGTCAGTGGGAAACGGCTGTTGTGTTGTATGATGATCATCCATCCAGCAGGCCCTGCTATAAGCACACCAGCTGGCCACTGCAACCCCACACACTCCTGCTGCTATCCTCCACAGAAACCTGTACAGTCAAGATGGCTAGTAATGAAGGGCTACATTCATATGCAGAAGGTATAGGTGAAGGAATCATCCAGTCCCAGTACAGAGACTCTCAGATTTTTTATTATTTTTTATATTTTGTTATTTAACCTTTATTTAACCAGGTAAGCCAGTTGAGAACAAGTTCTCATTTACAACTGCGACCTGGCCAAGATAAAGCAAAGCAGTGCGATAAAAACAACAACACAGAGTTACATATGGGGTAAAACAAAACATAAAGTCAAAAATACCACAGAAAATATATATACAGTGTGTGCAAATGTAGCAAGTTATGGAGGTAAGGCAATAAATAGGCCATAGTGCAAAATAATTACAATTGGTATTAACACTGGAATGATAGATGTGCAAGAGATTATGTGCAAATAGAGATACTGGGGTGCAAATTAGCAAAATAAATAACAATATGGGGATGAGGTAGTTGAGTGGGCTAATTTCAGATGGGCTGTGTACAGGTGCAGTGATCGATAAGGTGCTCTGACAACTGATGCTTAAAGTTAGTGAGGGAGATAAGAGTCTCCAGCTTCAGAGATTTTTGCAGTTCGTTCCAGTCATTGGCAGCAGAGAACTGGAAGGAATGGCGGCCAAAGGAGGTGTTGGCTTTGGGGATGACCAGTGAGATATACCTGCTGGAGCGCATACTACGGGTGGGTGTTGCTATGGTGACCAATGAGCTAAGATAAGGCGGAGATTTGCCTAGCAGTGATTTATAGATGACCTGGAGCCAGTGGGTTTGGCGACGAATATGTAGTGAGGACCAGCCAACAAGAGCGTACAGGTCACAGTGGTGGGTAGTATATGGGGCTTTGGTGACAAAACGGATGGCACTGTGATAGACTACATCCAATTTGCTGAGTAGAGTGTTGGAGGCTAGTCCAGAGCCAGTGTCAAAACCATCCCCGCTGACACAATATGGCTAATGGAGAAAAATACATACATGTACTTGACTTCCAACTGATGTAGCACTTAAAAATAGAGAAGAGGTGTGTGTGTGTGTGTGTGTCCGAATATGTCCTTCCAGTTAAACATAGCCCTGGTCCCTCTTGTGGTTAAAACTACTCATTGCAATTCCTGTCCTGCCATGCCTGGCCAAACACCAGTTGACCAGCAGTGCCCATGCCAATGACCCTCTCCATAAAGTTGCAGTGCCAAGGCAGCATCATCACCTGTTGATGGAGAGGAATTACTATCCTTTTACAATGGCCTATTTTTTACCACAATCTGTTGGGAAGGAAATATGTCAACACAATCACATCTAGTATGAATTTAATAATAATATGCCATTTAGCAGACGCTTTTATCCAAAGCGACTTACAGTCATGCGTGCATCCATTTTTGTGTATTTGTTTGGGTTTGGTGTTTAATAATGCTAACAGTGCTTTAGGATGAATGCAACTCACACAGACTGATATATATGAGAAACACAGATGAGGATGGACACACACACATGCACACACACACACACACACACACACACACACAGTTCCCTTAAATATCCAGAGTGTTCCCACTCACATTAATATATCTGTCAGTTCCAGTCTGACGCCTGAGACGACTTTAGCTCTCAGACAAATGAAGGGTAGAGAATTAGGTCTCTTCGTGCCTTGTGGGGGTGGTGGGCACAGAGTTTGTGTGTGTGTGTCAGTGTGTGTGTGTGTGTGTGTGTCAGTGTGTGTGTGCAGGACAGCGTGTGTATGTAGCCTACTATATGTGTGTGAGGCTGTGAGCAAATCCAGCCCCACAACCTTGACAGACTGAGCCAAGGGTAGGATGTTTTTTCTCCTTCTCTGTTTTATAGTTTATATCACCAGCAGCTGAACAGTGGGAGAACTAGAGGCTTCAGGACAAGACTGAGCTGTGAGCTAAAAACACAGCTGCACTGGAGGACAAGCACAGAGGGACCAGACTAAATAATGTATTTTCAAGCAGTGTGGAGGACATCCAGAGAACAGCTACCCACATAATACATCAGGTTAGTCAGCTGATCTAATGCATACACAGTATAGGACTGTTACTCAATGAAAATCACTGACGTATCTAACCCATGGTAGACCTTTGCAGAAGCTATAGTGTGTGTTCTTGTGAGGAAATAGTGTGTAAGCATGGTTTGAGTGTGTGCCAGCACCCTGTTTGTTACTAACACTCATTCACTGCAGCAGAGTGTGTGTAACAGTCCTTGGATGTGACAAGTCAGCAGGTACATGAGTGGCGGTGGGAGGAACACAGACTGACAACTATGACCGGCTGCAAGACACTCACGCAACACTCCACCGCGCTAAATTACACAAACACACACAAAATGTGTGTTTGCACTCGTGATGAAAACGCATAGGCTATGTGCTTTAAATCAAATCATGTGCCGAAAACAACAAGTGTAGACTTTATCGTAAATGCTTACTTACGAGCCCTTTCCCAACAACGCAGTTAAAAAGTAAGAAAATAAAAAAAATAGATAAAAAGAAACGAAAATAGTAACACAATAAAATAACAATAACGAGGCTACATACAAGGAGTATCTGCCTTCCCAAGGAAAACTGGTTTGAAAATTTGAACATATAGGCTAGGTCTACTTTATGGCAAATACATTCTGAAAGATCCACCATGCTGCCTTGTTTACGACATGACCGGGTGGCTCAGAACTTGAGAAGAGCGTTCCTCCCTCACCACTTTTACCTGGTCATCTCAAATAATGTCTTACAAGTACTGTAGAAAACCCTCACTCCCCCCTTCCCTGGAGGGCAGCCTGCCCCTTATTGGCCGCCACACACCTCCATCAAACTTCATCAAAAACCCAATAACGACCACCTGGAAAGAGGAGGGACATTCCTATAAAAGGTGCTCACCAGCATTCATTAGGTCTCTTTCCACCAATAAAACCAGTTCAACAGAGTTCAGGCCAGCTACAGCACCTGGTGTCAAAGGAAGGCCAAGAAGATCATTAAGGACCTCAGCCACCCAAGCCACGGACTGTTCACCGGCTACCGTCCGACAGACCGAGACAGTACAGGTGCATCAGTGCCAAGACCGAGAGACTAAAAAAACTGATTTTATTACCAGACTGTTGAACAGCCAACACTAGCTGTCTACCAGGTGATGCACAGTCACGCACACAAAACACACACAAGCTATGACACACACCTCACACTCACACACACGCAGCCAACGCTGCTGTCCCATGCTATAGAGACATTGAACCACTGGTCACTTCCCGTTTCACACTGTATGTAAATATTGTATCGGACGTAGCTCATAATATTTATACTATTGTACATTGTATTTTAATTACACTGTTTATACACCACATTTATTTATACACTTGATTCTTGACATACAGTAGCTTACTCATATCTACTGCTGTACATATCATTCTTAGCTGATCATGTGTAAATTATCCCGGTGTACATGCATATAAATTGCATTTGATTACTGCTACAGGGCTATTTGGGTTAATCCGATTGGTCCTGCTCTTTATCTTATATTTTTATGTATTTTGTTCCACCTTACATTTTAATTGTTTGACATTTTACTGTTACTTCAATAGACTTTCATCTAACTG